TTATTAAGGTTATAGTGTCGATACAGTTCTTCCAGACAAATGAATTTTACCAAAAAAAAAAAAGTAATTAGAACGGAGATTTATGCAAAAGAAGGTACGATCAGGCTCAACCAGAAATGACTATGATACGGTTATGAAACATTTAGATATGAAAATAGAATGTGCCAATTGCAATAACGATAGCGACTTGTGATGAAAAGAAGGAATTGATCGGGTTGAAGTGTATAGAAGCACAAACTAAAGCCTAAATTATCTCTAATTAATGGATAATATAAGTTAATTAGCAAAAAAAATTAATTAGCGAATAATCCTCATTTTAAATGAGATTCTTGTCTATGGCACCAACCAACAGAATCTTCGGTCTGTGATCAACAAGTGGTGCATAGAAGATAATTTAGAATAATTGCATTGATTATCCAGTGCACATATCTAATCATATTTAAGTTAAAAAGGAAATTTGGATACGTGTATATGTGATGCTAATTGTCCCACTTCAATTAGAACGTTTTTAGGTTGAAGTAATCAGTGAAAGAGGCCCTACCATTAAATTGGATTATTGATTGTTGATCCCATAAGTGGAAACGAAATCCCACAAAGATTTCAACATTTTTATGCACATTGTCAATATGGTTTTGTTGTATTCGCCTTTGCTTAGCCATCTGAAATAGCCTTTTGCACATATCGATTCATCGTATAAAATTAAATTATTGAAAGAAAATCAGTTCAGTTTTAAGACGCCCGACAAGATCGATTAGTATAATATTGTTGAACAAAAAGATTCTAGATCTAGCATTATAATGTTGCAATTAAGTAACTAAACTTTAGATCTCACCTTGGGGTTAAAAAGGATGTTTGAATTTAACTTCTCACATAGGTTAGTATTGACGAATAGGCCGGCAAAGGCCAACACAATTATGACGGTAGTGAGGTTGGTATCAACATATGTTGCATAAGGAATTTGTGTGTCCGAAGTTCTACAGAATTAAAATATATCAAACATGCAAGGCAAAAAGCGTCTTCTAGAATTTTGAAAGGCGCAAGATTATTTCACCAACTCTTTGAGGACAACGGACCTCTCCCACCTGTAAAACTCTCTTGACCATTCGCTCTAGGCACAAGACATTTTTAGAGGTTACTGAAAATTTTTATCACTATTAACTTATTTCACTGTTAGAATTGAAGGGACTATCTTGATTTTTAAGGTCAGCTCACTTGTATTATACATATTCGTTGACATTTTTAGGTTCATAAAATTGGCAAACGCCACATATTGAGTTTTGAGGTCAACAATTTTTTCAAGGAGTAAACACATAACCTCATTTGAAAAATTAAATAAAAACGGATAGAAGGATAGAACGAATAAACCTCCTAATATTATTCCATTTTCAATGATTTGAAGTTACTTATTTTTCGCAGAATTACCCAACAAAAGAATAAATAATTCACCCCCACTTCACGTGACGTGACAAACGAAACAACTTAAATGTGCTCCCCCACCTGTAGGAGTGTAATTAGTAAAAGGACAGGTTTTCCGTATAAACTAATAGGAATAGAAGCGTACCACCGTACAAATCCGCAGATTTTCCAAACAATTCACATGAAATGATTTTGATACCATTATTATCATCTACCACAGCCACAGGGGACTCAATATTATTATTTTTAAAATATTTTATTATATTGTAGATAATTATCCATTTTTGCTCCTATTAATTGGTTGTGTTAAATAATAAATATAATTTTTCACTTTTTTTTAACTACGAAAGTACGAAACTATAAGTTTATCGTATTGTACTACAAAGACGAATTTATTAGATGTAATTCTATCCTAAATTACAAAGCTTTTTCTACCTACAAAACTTTCGAGTCTATGAAAGTTTTTTCCAATTCTACAATTTGACGTTAATAAGTCTATATTTGGCTCGTGCTTATAAACTGTTTATGTACGATCAAATTACTTTTTATCTGCAAATTTTGAGGGACTTCAAAGTAAAATCCACAACTAAGTTATATATTTATAATTTAAATTGTTTATAAACACTTATGCAAATGTTTAAAATTTTAAATATTAAATCGACGTTATATTATTTACCCAAAAACAAAACTTACTTTAGGTTATTTATGTATTAAGAGATTGTATTTTTCAATTGTAAAAATAATACTGTACAAGGACCGTCACGAGTCTATTAATTTGAAACATTTATAAAACATCACGAGACTTCGTCTCAATTCTCCGAACTTTTATATTTCTTACGAAGTAATGAATGTTCGATTTCTTTCTAGTCTTGTATACTTAACGAAATCAATAATACTTTCAAAGTCGTGTAATATTATTACGTCGTCCATTCAAAACAATAAAAGAAAATTCTCAATTTGAGTGGAGCAGTTTGGTAATGTAATATTCATGGAGGAAGGCTCTCTTGAGGCCAAAAGTATAAAGGGTGCACAGACCCTCGTCAACTTGGGCATATCCCGCGGTTAACCTTCACCCATCACTGAGGGGCCGATGATGGGTGGTTCAGGACATAGTCTGGTATAAGATAGGATATCTGGATATCAAAAAATAATAATAATAAAAGAAAATTCTCAAGCAATTTGGATAAGATTTGTCAATTAGTACTTGCGCTCTTCATTCGTAGTTTTCTCCAGCCTATTGTTTTGTCGGTATGGCAATGAGTAAAACCTATAAAAACCCAAACATTTTCTGTGGGCTAATTAACATTAATTAACTACCTCTATTCAAAATCTAGTATTTATCAATAATGACGAGTAACCAAGCTGGTTCTGTACGGATAGCGATTCCTCAGTCTGTAAAGAGGTCCCACATCCCAAGTTGTAATAAAAAAAACAGTATATGGCCCTGTTTGTCATCTTTTAAAAAATTAAATTATTTGCTATTTTATTTCTCCACCACACATTCACACAATAAAATATTTTACACACAAATCAATAAAATTTCCTTACTTTTTAACCACACAATCTCTAAAAAATACTATTATATAATTCTATCAAACGGGCACTAAGACTTCTCTCAGCATTCGCTGTGGTTTGTAAATTCAAACACGGCACATATACGTCTTTTTTATTTTTTACTATGTATTACGTCGCGACACATAATTGAACATTCAAAAACACGCACACATTTTTTCATCAAATACTTTTTGAATTCTCATATAATGTACAACAAAATATAATCCGTAAAATGTACAGTTATTCTTGTAAATTTGTTAGTGTCGGTCCCATTTTAAGAGTCAATTTCAAATTATAATTTGTTTTTTAATATCCCTCTTACCTTGTGGTATTTAATAGTTATTTTTAAGTACTCATTAGATAGAAAATGATTTTTCTTTATTGAGTTACCAAAGTCTCGTATAATTCACTCAATCATTCGTTCCTAACAAATGAGTTGCTGACAACTAGAACCTGCCTTTATCTGAGCCTCAATTTTTGAAAAAATGCATTTTCGAACGGTGTTTTAAAATCACAAGTTCTTTAATAAAATAATATTAAATACAAATTCAAATTTTTTATTATTTTTTAATTACACGTTTCTCATCAATAAACTATTTAAAAATATATTTTTTTGACCAAAATGAGAGTCAAACAAACACTAGAATTTAGCTGGAACCACGGCTAGATTAAAATGTCCAGGCATGAATTATTTATTTATTTTTTCTTGCCATGTTTTTTTCTCTTAGGTGAACCTAGCCAATAAAGACAAAAGAAATATGGAGAGGATGAATCAAATCATGCCAGACAATAGGTAAAAAGTTTTATGGGAAAAATTCTTGTTGGATGAGCCTTGCCTTAAACTCTATCCATCCCTCATTAACACTGGCCCATCATTCTCCCATCCCAGACTAGTGGAACAATATTATTACCCCTCAACCCCCACTGTATGAATTTTATTATCCTATCTAGACGAGGTTGGGCACGAATTGAGTTGAGTTGGGTCGGGTTCGAGCTCAACTCGACTTCAAATCAATTGATTTGGTCTATTTCATGGGTAAAATATCCTTGATTTTTTCTTTTTACAAAAAAACAAATATCAAATCGAGGTTTTTGAGTTGAATCCAAGTTCTTCTCAGTCAGATTTCACCGTTGAATTATGCTAGGTGGGTGTTTGGTGATGATTAAAATTAAATTTTTAGTAGATTGTGATAGAAATTTTTGAAATTTGTGGTTGAAAATTTGTGAGATCCATGAAAGATGTGATTAATATTAATTGTTTGATTTTGACTTAGATTAAATTTTGATTTTAATTGGAAACAAACAGAGCCTAGATGTACATTGTGCTTTACACTTTTGTTGACATCTCCCTAAATGGAAGAAATTTGTGTAGTGACTTTGATGGATCTATTTGAAAGAGTGTTAATTAAAGTGTTAAGGAGAGTGTGTATGTAGCATGGTTGTTTGGTGATGGATAAAATGCCCGGCCCTAAATCTTATCTGATGCTACATCAGAAACCCTCTATTATTTGCAGCTGCCTGCTTTTATTACACCAATAGTATCCCCTTTCACCAACCCCACCCCACCCCACTCCACCCCACCGCACCCTCCAACACACACACACACAAAGAGAGAGAGAGAGAGAGAGCGCATGCAGCAGGAGGAGAGGGGGGATGAACTTACTAAAACACGGTCCAGTCATGTGAATCTCATCAACTTGCTCTTTATCTATACTCTACCCCACCTCACATACACAGCCCACAACACACACACTTTCTATACAACTATTTAGATTTCAACCCTCCCCCAATCTCATGAATCTTCCTACTTCCTTACGGGTTGACCCACATCTTAATATCTCTATTTTTCTTTTTCTTTTTTCAAAATCTGTATGTATGTAAATGATTATTATATTTCATGAACACCTCCTATAAATAATCATCCCTCTTCTCAACAACTCATTTCATAATTCACACTTCTCTCTTTTTCTCTCTTTCTTCTTCTCTTCACCTTTATTTCCAAGAAACTCCCTCAATATTTTTAACGGAAAATGGATACAAGTTCAGTGGGTGAAACCACAACCAGTGATTCTATATCTATGGCACGAATCTCCGTCGCCTCGACTTTGCCGGTGACTAAGTCGCCGGAGAGTCCTTGTCGTGTCGGAAGTGGCACGAGTGTGATAATAGATGCAGAGGTCGGTGTTGAAGCTGAGTCTAGGAAGCTTCCTTCTTCAAGATTCAAAGGTGTAGTCCCTCAGCCTAATGGCAGGTGGGGTGCACAAATCTATGAAAAGCACCAAAGGGTTTGGTTAGGCACTTTCAATGAAGAAGATGAGGCCGCCAGGGCGTACGATATCGCGGCACAAAGATTTCGAGGCCGAGATGCAGTCACAAACTTTAAACCGTTGTCGGAAACCCAAGAAGATGATGTTGAAACAGCCTTCTTGAATTCTCATTCCAAGGTTGAGATTGTCGACATGTTAAGGAAACATACATACACCGATGAACTCGAACAAAGCAGGAAGAACTACGGCTTGTTCGACGGCAGTGGCAAAAGGATCATGAATAAAGACGGCTTTTTCAGCTCATTCGGTGTCGGTGATAGGGAGGCAAAAGCTCGGGAACAGCTCTTCGAGAAGGCGGTAACTCCTAGCGACGTGGGGAAGCTCAACCGCCTGGTTATTCCAAAACAACACGCCGAAAAACACTTCCCTTTAAAAAGTGGGAACAATTCCAAAGGGGTGCTTTTAAATTTCGAAGATACGGGTGGAAAAGTATGGAGATTTCGATATTCATATTGGAACAGTAGCCAAAGCTACGTGTTGACAAAAGGATGGAGTAGATTTGTCAAGGAAAAGAAGTTGATTGCCGGTGACATTGTGAGCTTTCAACGATCGACCGGGCCGGACAATCAACTCTACATCGACTGGAAACCGAGGAACGGATCAAATGTTGCGGTGATACCAGTCCCGGCCCAACCTATTCCGATGGTAAGACTATTTGGAGTGAACATATTCGAGGTACCAAGTAATGAAAGTTGCAGTACTGGAAAAAGGATGAGAGAAATGGAGCTTTTGGCATTAGAATGTAGAAAAAAACAGAGGGTTATCGATGCTTTGTAACATTTGTATTTTAATTTGTTTTTGTTGGAAGGTGGAATGTTGTTGCAAGTTGCAAAAAAGTGAAATTGTATAGTTTTTTTAGAGATTAAAATGCTGGAACTGATTAGGTGAGAGAAATATGGAAATACAAAACTTGTCAATTTGTTCTTTTAAAGTTATTTACTTTTGGACTATCTTTCTTTACAAAAATATATCTATGTTGTTGTTATAACACGCCTCAGTGACTAATTTTAACTTAAAAAAAGGTGACAGCAAGACTTAGATCCCATAACATTTATTCGTCTATCACATTTGAACTACTTTATCTAAAAGCAATTACGTACATATTATTTTCTTTTGTTTACGTGTAATACTATTTTATTGAAGAGTATATGGTTAAAAATAAGTTTTGAAAAAATATATATATTTTGTTTAATGGAGTCGAAACAAGCACCAAGGTTTCATCATGTCTATTGAAATGGTAACAAATTATATAACTACACTATGCAATCAAACGAACTAGTTCTTAATTAAAAGTTAATTAATCCTATAAAAAAAATTAATAAATTAAATCTTTTATTTTATTTTATCTTAACATGAAGGTTTCATGTCTAATGAATTAAGTGCATGTTGTCAAGGAAATCATAATCAATCCATATATTAATATTATTTTTAGTATCTCAAAATCTCCATCGAACGTTAATTAACTAACAATTTGGCATTTTTTTAGGGAAAATTGCAGTTGAGGTACCAAATCTTTCAATTAGTTGTAGACTTTGTCCAAACCTTTTTTTTATGCCAACGAAGGTCCAAAACGTTTCAAAAATATGCACCATAGGTCTAAATGGATGGTCCAGTTGACCGTTAGTTGACCAATAATAGTAGATTTTGACCAATTTTAACAAAATCAAAAGGGACAAAATGGTAACTATACAATTTTCTCATTAAACAAATAAAAAAAGAAAAAAAATTGGCAAGCCCTCTCTTCCGAGGCAACAGTGCCGGCACACTGCCAGGACTACCACCGCCTCTGTGTCGGCACCACCACCCCCTATCTCCTTCCCCACCCCAACTCTCACCAATTTCCCCCAAAACGCCACCACCACAATCAAAACAAAATAAACCCACCCAAATTTAGTGAGGTCGAATCAAAATTGGTGAATCAAAAGACCTCACAGTCGAATCAAAAGCCATCCCTTTGGATTCACTGAAAATCATAATTTTGCTTATTTGGTTATTGATTTTTTTCTTTCGAGAATGAAATCGGATTGATTTGTTTATTGTTGTTGTGGATTGATTGATAAAGTGTGCGCCTTAGAAATGTAGAGACAAAGATGTTCGAACAAGCGGTAGAGATTTTCAAACGGATTGATAGATTATGCGTGGACGTTGATTGTTGGGGTTGTGAATTTGAATTTGAATTTTTAGAGGTTTCTAAGCTTGATCGGTGATTTAGTGGTGAACTGTGTTCGAGAGGTGAAGAAGGACATGGTGTCGCCGTCAATCCACCGATCAACGGAGGTACAAGATGGTTGGTGATCTGGTGGTGAATTGGGGGCGGGATGAGGATTGAAGAAGGAGATGGTGGCTGAGTTTCAAATTTTTGGTTTGGGG